AGAAACGACTCTCTGAAAAAGTAAAACATATATATATATATATATATATATATATATATATATATATATATATATATATATATATATATATATATATATATATATATATATATATATATATATATATATATAAAGAATTAAAAATATATACTAGACATAGCAGAATACATATATCTATTGCCAGTTATATTTTATTTCAATGTCGCTCAAATGTCACATTATTGATTGGTATCGGCAGAAGAAGATGATTCGCTTTCCCACTAAAATAAAAGCTATGAATAAATTAAAAGAAAGTATTCCCCCGGATGCTCGATATGCGTTACAGCCACGACAAAATGCAAGTTTTCCAAATTTGTACGCATATAGTTGATCAAGAATTTCTGGGGGTGACCTACATTCCGTTTGCATGTATGATCTCCACTGTTAGCGTGTACAACCTCCATTGAGAATCATCTGCTACTAGAAAATCGTATCATATTATGAAAGGAATTGGTTTGCACACTTATGTAAATTCTATACCCTTGAGCTGTATGTATGTTTATTAATTTATCTTATATGAAGAATAAACCTTTATGAAGTAACCTCAAGTAGTCAGTATTCATTGACCATTAGTGTACTTTAACGTGACGATCATTGGGGTTGCTTTCCAAACAAACACATTTAAGGTCCTGATCGTATTATTCAAATTTATTTGTATTTACAACAGTTACTAGATATTTGAATTACAGATTTATTATTCAGAGTTATTTGAATTTCATTCATAAATTCTATCAGGGGAATGTTATTGGACAAATTACCATGTTTCTTTAAAACATGAGGTAGAGCGAATACATATGCATCCGAGCTTACTGATAAAGACGGGTTTTGAGTGTTTGGCCCATCATTGCAGACATAGCGAAAAGGAGGAATATATGGAATAGCATCAGAGGATGAGTTGAATACCTTTTTCGTGAGGTAACGTTATGCCATATTGTATTTTTCTCTTACTGCAAAGTATTTGTTGTCGTTAGCGTCATGAATGAGCACGTACGATAATTGACGAGAAGAAAAATTTCATGCAATCTAGAATTACGTGGATACCTGGTGAAAGTTAATACCTGATTCATTAAATGTAATACCTGCTTAGTAATAGATAATACTTGCTTTGTAATAGTTAATACCTGCTTTGTGACAATTTCATAGGAATTTAGTTATTCACATATTTTAAAGAATATTGTCTTTGTGTGTGGTTGACATAAATTATTACGTACACAAAATTTAGATTGTTGGTTGAAAATCAACTTCCAACTTGAAACGAAAGATCAGGTAAGACTTGTATAATAAAACATATTCGATATGTTTTAAATGGTAGTATACAATTTAATAGACTTGAATATATATGCAAAACCTATCCACTTAAAATCTTCACAATTAAAATTAAAAATGCTTAAAGTTACTTACCTTCTTATCAATATATGAATTTACGAATTCTATCTATCTATCTATCTATCTATCTATCTATCTATCTATCTATCTATCTATCTATCTATCTATCTATCTATCTATCTATCTATCTATCTATCTATCTATCTATCTATCTATCTATCTATCTATTGATCTATTGATCCTACTATTGCTACTAATATTATTACTAATAACAAACAATTATTATTATTATTATTATTATTATTATTATTATTATTATTATTATTATTATTATTATTATTATTATTATTATTATTATTATCATTATTATCTTTGATGACAGCTATCTTGTCTTGTATTAAGTCAATTATATTTGTTAATGTTTTTTATTTGAGTTTTTTTTTCTGAGTAGGAAAAATACAAATTCAAATACCAAATGATTCAGTTTGCCTTCTAGTTGTCATTTGTGGTGCATTTTATTGCCTATATATTTGGCATACTAGCTTGCACGAGCTCTGTCTTCTAGAGGCTTGTTACACTTGTTTGCATAAGTTCTGTGTTCTAGAGGCTTGGCACAATAGTTTATATCATCTCTGTCTTCTAGAGGCTTGTTACACTTGTTTGAATTAGCTCTGTTGGCGCTCTATAGTTTCGTATTTACCATAGGGTTAGAATTTTAAAGAAAAAGAATTTCCCCGGGTTTCCTCACTAGTTATACTTGCTATTTAAAATTTAAAAACAGAATTTGCATATCATAGGTATTGTTAAAAAAATCTTTAATTTCCTTTATTTTGATGGTTGTAATATGGATTATAGAGTATACAATTTGGCCTTACCCCAGATGTGCCCTTTTCAAAAAAATGCTTGCACCACTTACTCATTTTCATTGCCTGAACTTCAGAAGTAAATCGTAAAAAAGAGCCGATAACATTTTTTACATTTAATATATTTGGTAATTCATTCTTTGCACTTTCAGAAGCTGGTATTGTCTAGTCTGGCAAAATGCATTTTCCATATTTTAATACCTGACAATGATAGTATACTTTAGAAAAATTCAGGGCGATTTTTTTTTGCAACACATAGGAGTAGTCATTTTAGTTAGCAATGTGCTTAGATCAGTTACAATTTCCAAAAGTACGATATCCAAATAAATGTCAGCCACATTACATC